ATATCAGATAGAGCTGTGTGTCACGGCTCTTTATTGTCACGGGTGCAGAGAAGACTTCTATCGTGGACACACCTGTGCATCACACCTGTGAGTCTACACCAGTGCAGGCTCTTTGTTTTGGGCCTTTTGTCTCTTCTGCACTATTACCATGTTTTGTGTGTACTATGCACTGTACCATGTGCAACTGTGTATGTAAAAAATCAGTTTTTTATTGATTATTTAGCTCCTATCAAAGCCTCCTCTCAGCAGGATTCAGTTTGAGAACAGAGACATCCTTCGTGAAGATCAACTTCCAGCCTGAGCGGCTTCAGTTTGTCAGCCGTTGTAGGTTTTTAGCTCAAAGCACCACTTTGAGCCTCGAAGGTCCACCAAACACATCCCTCGACCCTCGTCTGTATTAGCACCACCATGCAAACTAAATCAACTAATCCGTTCCTCAGAAGCTCAAACTTTCTAATAGAAAGTGCGTTAAACTTTGTTCTCTGGCTTCAGATAGCGAGCAGTTGTTCCCACCTCGGAGCGGCTGCAGCACCACCCATGGCTCAGATAGCGCAGCCCTGAGCACAGCCAGTGGATTAATGATACCCAAAACTTTTGTTTACCTAAACAGCAGCGAGTTCGGTCCACAGGAGGCAGCGATGTGGGCTGCATAAACAGAAGGAAAAGGAAGAACGTCTCCCTCTCATCTTTTTTTTTTTTACATTCAGATCTTAGCCACAGGGTTCACATCACATCCACCAGCAGTCAAACACTGCGTTTACCATCATCATAATGAAACCAGGCGGCTCCACGTTTCTGAACTCCACCATACGTTAACCACAGATTGTTTAGGACCCGTAAGCGGCGCCGCGTCTGGAAGCAACTGTGCCGTTCACAAAGATTTCCATCAATTATTCCGTAAGTCCTGCTGACAGTCGCTGCTGCTTCCGCCGCTGCTCGCTTCGGCCGCTGGACCTGGAAGCTCAGCGTGTTGGTGTGTTTCCATGAGTCTGTTTTGATCTATTCGCCATCGTGTTCTTCTGAAAAACTTTCTGTAACTCACAGCGTTGAAGAGGAGGACGAAGACAAACTTTGTTCGGGTCGCTTTCATGTGCAGAACAGAACGGTCAGCACTTTGGGAAATTGCTGCAGTTTTCCTGATTGAGTGAGTTCCAGTTAAGGCACGACGCTGAAATGGTCGTTATCCACACATGAGGTGACGCCTGCAAGCTCCAACCAGAGTCCGCTGCTGCACTCACATACCCAGCACGTCCTTTAATCGTGTGTTTGTGTCATCAGTGCTTGTATGTTTGTGCACATTGAAGCCACGCCGCCGTCAGAACGTCAGACCTCCACCTCAGCATCCGGCTGAAGCCTGAATCTGGTTCCCTCTGGTGGGGAGGTGAGCGCCGACGCTCCTCAGGCACTGCTGAGCTCACGTCGATGTTTCTTTGTGGGTCACAGACATTCAATCACCTAAAACTGGATGTATAAGTGTGTGCAGGATAAAAACATGTTGTGGGAAAAACAACCAGCTGTGACTCAATATTAACAGACTAAAAACGTTTTCTTAACCACTCTGAGCTCCCACAAACACTGACTCGCTCTATTCCACCATCCTGTGAATCCACTGACGAGTACTCTGTCAGTTTGCAGTATGTCACATGTACTCAGGTGTGATCTACCACTAGTGTTTCTCAGGTGCCTCATTTCCTCGCTGCTACTGTAAATACTCACATTTCTGCAAGTGAACATGACGTCCAGCAGGAGCTACACAAGAACACGTGGAGATGCCAAATCATCTGAAAAGAAGAAGAGTTTTCAGTTTAAACTATTTTGAGTCCTACATAAAATACAAGTTATGCACAAGTTCATTAAGGTCCGGCTCTTCATTTGTAGTCTGTCTTAATTGCTCCTGATGTTCCTGCTGCTCTGTTCTCTTCATCCCTTCACTCTCACTCCAAACCAATCAACCCTGTTCTTTAAATTCACTGTCATTCTGTCACTCGTCCTTCCAGGCTGTTGGTCCTGCGTCCCTCCTCCTCTCTGTCTCCACCTCACCTGGACGTCCAGGTGGTCTCAGCCAATCTCCATCAGCAAACTGCTCCACTGCCTCCAGCATCAGGAGGTTCTTTCCTCATCTCCTGCCTCCGTTTGGAACTCTCTCACATGTTAATGATTACTGGTTCATCCATTATCCAAATGTTTTATACCATAAAGAAAGGACACGCATGCCAGAAAATGTATTGTAGACGAGCTGAAGTACCTGGTTGTGCCACCAGGTGGAGCCTCTGCAGCAGCTGGAGGAGGTGGACACTCCAGGGAGTTCCACGTTAGCAAGTAGAGAGCATGGTCAGGGTTTCACCACTAAAGGGGCACCATGACAAAGTCTTCTGTGGCTCCTGTTGGTGTCTGACCACAGTTCCCATCCTTCAGGTACGTTGGGTTCTACTGGGACAGATGTCCAGTGCTCCACTGGCTCTGCTGGCTCGTGTCAAATGGTGAGCACTAACAACAGCGATGCAGGCACATGGAATCATGTCCGTCACGCTCAGTCCGGGTTACCAACGGATCAAGTTTCCACTGAACACGTCGCCAATTATCGATGCTGAAAATCGCTCCAAGTTTGGATCCCGACTCCTCACCAGAGCTTAGCTGCTTTCATTCCACCCGCTCATGTTCCTGCAATAAACTGTCTGTTCTCTGCTTTCATAGGATTTCTCCTTCCTGGAATGGAATCTCATTGAAACATTCCCCTTGTGCGCTGCTAAACTTTCAAGTTACTTCAAAAAGCCATCAATGCTACGAAGACGCCTCCAAACAAAACCACGAGCCAGCGTCCTCCGTTTGTCCACAGAGCAGCTGAAGCGAAAGCAGCTTGATTAGATGCCTCTGCAGCTCTTGATCTAGCATCACATCAGTCTGTTTATCTTCCCAAACCAAGACACCTGCTGCCTGCCGTCCTGCGTGCTGGTTTGGAGCTCCAGCTGCTAAGAAGTGATTCAGAACTATTCACAACAACAGAACCTGTGAGAGGACAGGTTCTGGTCTTCCAAGTTTGCAGCAGCTGAAGAAAGTCAGGATTTTCAGACGACAACCAGAGATGAAACACATTAAAAACAAACACTAAATCTCAGTTTGAAAACGCTGTAAATGCATAATGACGTGACCCAAACAAACCGGCACGTTCACCTGCAGACATCCTGGGAACGCTCATAAGCGACCTGCAGACTATCAGGTTAATCTCATGCTGTTATGTCAGTGCAGGGATTAAGTCGTGGAAACGTTTCACATGCAGCACGGACACACAAACAAACAGGAGGAGGCTCACATGAGCTTAGTTTATGAACGTGTATGTAAGGTGTTCAACAACATGGAGAACGACATAAGGTGTGAGAATCAGCCTGGAAGGAGGAGGACGAGACGGAGGGCGTGGTCTGCTAATCCAGAAATATCCTGCCGGGCAATCCTGGTGAGAACCAGATTAATGTACCAGCACCTCACCGTCCACAGGGAGCATAAACAAAACCAGATGCTGGATCAGACGGTCTTTTAACAGCTAACATTTCTCCCTTTGCATCGACTGGATTGTTAAGGATATAAACCAACAGGACAGAGACATGGCGCTGCTGAGGTCGGGCTGGTTGTGGAGACAGAGTGAGTACAATCTGTTTGTTGGCATGAAGCTGTTTTTGATTGTTGTGATGAAGCACAAACTCAGGATGTTTAAACTGGTGCCGGCAACAGTTTTCATGATCAGTTATTAATTTAAAAAAAAATCAAATGCACACATTTTCAGCATCTCTGCCTCATTAAACTGAAACTATTATTTAAACGGCAGTGTGAGGTGAGATCTTGGACTCATTTCTTCTTATTTTCTGACTTTTTTTTAACAGTATTTTGGGATATTTTATGCTTGATTACAAACAGATGATACAGAGATGACAGGAAGTGATACGCAACAAACAGACTCAAACCAGAGTCTGTGGTTCAGGATCAGAGCGTTGGGTCGCCCACGTGTGCTTTTATATGATTTAATCAAGAAAAAAAAAAACAAAAAAAAAAACAACCCAACGGAGTAACAAAAACTTTCCAAAAAAGTGAATATTTTACACAAACTTTGCTCATTTTTTGTAAATTCTAAACTGTTTTGGAGCAAACTGGGAGCTGTTTGAGTTCAACTTTCTTCTCGACGGCTGTTTCTGCAGATCGTCCCTCTGAGGAAGTCAAGTCACACTTATTCATCGAGCACATTTAAAACAACAGAAGTGCTTCCTCTTTTACAAAATTAGATCAATAACATACATTCATCTGACTAAATATTTGTAAGAAGCACACTTCACCTTCTGAATGTTAAAACAAATCATTAGAAACAAACAACAGTTTATCAGTGCAGCACTGGACTGATTTTAGACCAATATATGTATTTGGTAGCTTTTAAAATCTAATAAAACAACAGCTGATATTCAATCTAAATGAATACACGAAATGAACGAGAACATTTTGACAAAGATTCCTGAAATATATAAAGAACTAATTATGTGCTAATTAGGGCAGATGAACAACAGGTGAACAGACGATGTCACACAAACACAACTATTCATGCACCTGATGGTAATTTATCTGTGACCTGATGCTGATTTATTGTGCTTTTATTTGGGTGGTTTTAGGATTTGTCCAACACAAAATGCCCGTTTCCCATTTAAACTTAAAATCAGCTGGTTTTGTTTTCATGATGGATTTCAGTCTCTACAGAGATTCTGAACGCTTTCTAGAAAGAGGAGAGAAAACAAACGCACCTGTTATGAAACTAAAGCCGTTGTAACTTATAATCTCATTAATTGTCCCCGGCCGTGTCCTTAAGTGGCTTACCGTGGACGGGCAGCAGGGATGAGTCTGCTGCATCCAAAAGCACCACTACGCAGGAAACACTTTATCTGAGCTAACGAGAAGATTTTAAACCATGAAAGGCTCAATGAGCAAGATTCTGTTTTCTACAACGACCTGAATCAACACGGCCGTTATAACGGACTTAAAACTACTTTATTTCTTCTTTTTTTCTGCTTCACAGCACCTTCAAAGACATGAGCTGATATTTAGAGCTCCCATGATGCTCTGTTCTGGGGAACGAGTCCAACTTTAGGAAGTTAGAAACTCACTAATATCAAAATAATTTCCAATAAAGCTTGTCTCTGGAGTTTGTGCAATATTTCCTTTTTTTAGGTGCAATATTTCAATTTCATGTGCAATATCTAATTACTAGCAGCATTAGCCAGGATTCCTTTTTCTATTCTAGTCCTATTTTAGCTTGACTCGCTTTATTTCCAGTAACACACTGATATATTACTGCTTTTCTACTGGCCACTGCATTTGTTTTCTGAGCAAAACTTGGCAAAAGAAATTTTCTTTGGGATTCTTAAAGTTTCATCTCATCCTATCTTGTCACCAACGCATCAGTCGGTACAGTTTTAATACATGCTGGAGCCATAGTGGTGCTCTGCTAGACTGCTCGAAGCGTCTTTTTCTGCAATTATGTTCTGCAAAATACAGTTTTCATGCTGGACAATCTATAACAACAGTACATCTGTGACATGAAAGTATCGGCTGTGCTGACGTTACAACTGTGCTTCCTCTTCAGCTTCAGTCCTAAAACGCTGGAAGCTAAACTGGTGCGACCTTTGGATAGACGGGAGTCTTTGCTTCTACAAGACCGAGAGCAGGAGACATCTGGAGCACCGCGTCGGCCTCAAAGTATCATGTATAGACGTCCGGTCCGGCCTGGAGTGTGGAGGTAGGACACCGGGACACGAGGGAGGCTTTAATGACTCCCATAAGTCTGGATTTTCAGTGATGGAATCATTGAAACATATAACAATGTGTTTGGAGGCAAGAACATCAGATCAGGTTTATCGTCATGTTGCTGTACATAGACAGCAGTACAGGCAAGACGAAGGAGAGTTTCTTCAGGAAGTAAGACACGAAACGTTCACTCTCGCTGTCTCCTGAAGGGGGCGCTGCCTCCATGCACGCCGCCATTGGTTGAACATGGAGAACCTCTTCAGGTCCTGGTAGGTCTTCAGGGACACAAAGACACACGATGCTGCCCAGAGCTGTCTGTCTGTCTGTCTGCATCCCCTCCAGCTGTCTGTCCGTCTGGGATGCTGTCATGGAGCCATGTTTCTGTTAAAGCAGACACACAGCAGTCCCTCCACTCTGAGGGTTTCTCTCAGCAAAC